AACTTGCAAACGTCTATGTTGCCACGAAAGGGTTGCTAAAGTATATCCTCATGTTTGAGCATCCTACACAATCGATCCTTTCAGAGGGTCGCGAAACGCAAGGATGTAAAAAAAGCTCTTCTACGCACATGTGTAATAGATTTCCAAGTTCTACACATATAAGAGAACCAACGACAATCTGCATGTGCACTTCCACACAGGGCAACATAACCTGCAAATATCTGCATGCACTTCTACAAAAACATAACCAGCGAACATAACCAGCGTGCACTTCTACATATGCAAGGGGCACAGCGATCAAATATATATATGCATTTATGTCACACATGTAAAAAAAGAATCATATGCAATTGTAGAGGGATCCATCGCGGCGTCCACCCGTCCAATCGACTCTTCGGGGCACCTGCGCCGGGGCCGCGTCGCCCGCCGCCAAGGCGGAGAGCACGGAGCCGTGCGCCTACCGACGCAGGAAAAACCGCTGTGGGGAACGAGGAACGACGAACAATGGAACTTAACAAGGAACTTTGAACGGAACTTAGTTCTTTTGCGACATGGGGTTCTTGAACAACATTTACCATGTTATTTGTTGGTCTTCTCTTTTTTGGTCTCGAGAGCGCGAAGAAGAAACAGGACGAGAAGGAAGAAAAAGCGACCAAAGACTCCGCTTCAGTTAGTTCAACGACGGTGTGGAACTCGGCCTTAAACGTTTTGGTCTCTACCAAACACATTCCCAAAAAAAGAGCCCTTCCACTGCAGTGTGTCCCTCTCTTTCAATCGGGCGCTTTCTGGGATTGGTCGGCTGATCTTCCGACCAATTCAGCGCCCCAATGCTGGGCTCCGTCCGAGTCCGAGTCCAGTGACACACGAGGTGAGGAGTTGAAAACCGCTAAAAGGTGAGTGGCTAAACCGTGAAATGGTCTTAGAATGGCAAAATTCGATGCGAACCCTTGTGAATTTGACTCAAAAGTGCTGAAATGGTCTGCCAAAACGTCCGCTTTCTCCCACTCGTCTCAGGTCGTCTCAAGCCTTTCTGTCCCATTCTGCCATGGAACAAATGCTTTGCTCTCAAAGATGGTCCTTTAAACATGACCGGAGGCTTCTCTGACGCCCGTCATGTGTTTTTCTCTGAAAAGTGAACAGAACGAACAACCAGGGCAGCGCCTTTCGCTGAACCCCCCAAACCGCTCCCCCGTTCCGAAAACGAAAACCCTCCACTTCGGTCGGTTCGATCTCGCCTCACTCGGGCCCAACTTCTTTCCTTGGTCGGACGGTGGAAAGCCAAGCTGGAAGGAAAGCCTAACTTCTTTCCTTTTGATTCGGCCAGCAGGGCCAGGCTGCAGAAGCTCGTGAGGCTCAGGATGCTTTGGATCGAAGGCCGTGGCCACCGAACGGGGGTGACACATCGATCAGGAGGCGCAGGAGGCGCTTGGGTCTGCCATGTACGGTGAACCAAAGGACGGTTCCGTCATCCCAGCGTTGAAAAGCATGTACCGTTGAAAACCCACCGTTTTGCTATTAACTCACTTGGCTGTGGTTCAAAAAAAAAACGGATTGCCACCCAAGAAACCTCAACCAACAGGATACACGCGTGGGCGTGTTCAAGTTTCTCCAACAGTTTGATCACCAGTCAGTCAAAGCAGTCAGTGATAATTGGAATTTCACTTGGGGTCGTTGCGACACCTCGCTCCACCGAGCGGCTCATGTCATCGATCTGCTGACGCAGCTCGAGGATGAGCGCCTCACGACCCACGTGGCCCACGGGTCTGGCCAGAAAAAAAGTGTGTTCGTCGCAGGGAAGGATGAAACATGCACTTGCACGTCTGGTGTCCTGGGTTTCCAAGCAAACTCGAGATCGAGATCATGGGACTCACAGAAAAGACTCGATATGTACACTGTTTCTCAACTCCGGTGAGCGGTGCTGAGGTCGCATATAGGTCTTTGCCGGACTCCGATCGCGTTCCTCGGTCTCTGTGGTCACTCGGTGCCGAAATGGGTCACCAGTTGGGAGGTGTCTTCGAAACCAGTTCGGATGTGAATCATAGTAGAGTCCTTGCTCCAGTAGCGTTGGGATGTTCCAATCTCCGTTCTCAAGATCCCAAAGCAACATCCTCCGATCGCCAATCTCAGCAAGAAGTAAGTCTCCTTCACGATGTTGGAAATGGGGAGCCAGACCTCCTCTGTTCGAAGAAATGCCTCTCTGAAGAATCATTATCCAATTGAGAAATGCTTTGTCCTTTGCAGACTGGGTTAGCGCAGACAAAGACCCTGCCAGGCTCCGCCATTTTGCAAAGGGATCCAGGACCAGAGCCTCTACTTTAAAGAAGCATCGACAGCCTTCGCTGTGGCAGCCCTCAAGATACCTTCAATTGAGATAAACTGATATTCAACTGTCATCTTCCCCATCCCGTCCCCCTTCGATATATCGCTGCCCTCGCTCCCCCAGGAAAGCACCTCGCTTCCCTGCCCGCTGAAGTCAAACCGTTTTCACATCAGCTATCGCATCGTGATAGACCCAATACATGGGAGGCCACTCCAAGAGCTGGTCCAGTTGACTTCTGTCACCAACTTTTTATATGTTTTCCAGATGTCAGTCTCATGAAAACCATCCTTCATGACAGAACAACGAACACATCGCGTGGATAGGACGATGCGCCGGGTTTTTTGGCATGGCAACCCCCTCTCATTGTGGGTAAAATGATGGAAAATGGCCCATACGATCCACTTCAGTTGCAGTCGAATCAGAAGATTCATGCCACTGGCGCCAGTCTCAAGACTCAAGTCGAAAAGAATCCCTCTCCTCTTTAAGTTGTATAGGAAAACCCTTCAACCAAACCCTTCAACATCCTTCACATCTCTCAGCCTTCCCCCCACTTGTATGTTCACATCTTCATCTTCTGGGATGAACCAAAAAAACACAACCAACCCCCTTTAAAAAAAAATCATCTCAGATCCGTCCCTTTTTCGCTCACTTCTTCGACCGTCGCTTCGTCGCTTCTTCGCTTCTTCGCTTCGCGCCTGGCGGGCCGCCTGCGGCTTCACGTGAGCGCCGAAGGTCTCGGACCTCGGAGCGGGCGGTCTCCGGGCGGGTTCCCGCGCGGGCGAACGTGCGAGCGAAGGTTCCGGAGGAGGAGGGTTCTTTTTCGTTGGGGCGACGTCCGGTGGCGCGAAGGTTCGGGTTTTTTCCGGCTTCCGATGTTCTTTGGGTTTTTTTCAGAAGCTTGCACTTGCCGGTGAAGAAAGAACGAGATAGTCTGTCGAGGTAGCTACAGAGCCCAGAGATGACCTCTGTTTTGAGAGGTATACGTTTTTGGGGGTGAGCCTGAGTCTATGCATCCAGAGGCTCTCCCGGGCGCAGCTCACCTCTTCACTCCACCTCTTTGCGCGCCGGAGCTGTCGCCGCTTTCACGCTGCGGAGCTCGCCTCCCGCGAAGGTGGAGGGCTCGATGGAACCGGGTCACGGAACTGGACTTGATAGTAGCTGCAGCACGCAGCAGTGGCGGTGTTTAGATGGTGAGTAGAATCTCGGATCAAGATGGATGGATCCTACAAAAGGTCCATTCGTGCGGGCAGAGGCGGGAGACGAATCCCGGCGGTGCTTTTTGTTCTTTCTTTTTCTGCTTCCCGTCCGAAGCCGGTCGAGGAGGATCGAAAGGAGAATGAGAAAGGAAGACGACCATCCGCAACGACCGTCCCCTCATCCACCCGGCCTCTCATGCGCCGGAGGGGCACTGCATGTGGCTCTGCGGCGCAGTGGCTTGGCTTCCCTCAGATGAGCGACAACGAATGTGACACAAAACGAGTCGGTTCGTGGAGAGTCATTGATGCTTCGTTGGCACGAAAAAGACACATCCGCTGCAACCGGACGAAATGGATCCGGGTTTACTCACCGTTCAACTCACCATCCGACGAAACAACTACGTTCGATCTCCATCTAATCGTCGTCACACCGACTCCATCGTCACACCGACTCCGTCATCCGGTGTGCCCTGCGGTGGAGGGATGACCTCGCGGATCGGTCCGTCGTGGATGGTCCGTCGCGTCGTGGTGGGCTTGGGCTTTTTGGGCTTGGGCGTTGAGGTGAGCGAGTCATGCTTGAGATAGGGCGGGATGCTGTAGCAGACGCGCAGGAGATTTTTCAGGTGTTTGAGACAAGAGTTACGCCCTACTAGCAGGGTGCCCACACCGCCTGAGAATTGAGGCTGCTCAGCACGATGGCTGGGGCGCAAACCTTCCTCTAAGGAAAACGAAAATCAAGTGGACCTGTCACAGAATGAAGGCCAGCAAGATTCTAAGCAAAGCTGTGAAACTCACTGTTATGTGGACCTTTGCCCCCACGATTTCTTCACCCTAAAGATGGATCTCGAAGGATCTTGCCAAACAAAGGTGCTGCAAACTGCTTGGCAGTGTCTCCAACCAGGAGCCGTAGTCGGAGGCGGCGCCACAGCAGTCCAATAGAGTCAATGACTGCAGGCTGCTCGGCCACACAACACCTTCCAAGCTCCGGACGAAGCCAAAGGTCAAAGCTAGCAAGCTTTTGGGGAATGTGACACCCAAGCTCTGGTCAAACTCTCCTCCGAAGGTCAAAGTCTGCAGGCTGCTTGGCAAGGTGACACCTTTCAAGCTCTGATTGAACTTAAAGCCGAAGGACAAAGCTTGTACGCTGCTTGGCAAGGTGACACCTTTCAAGCTCTGGTTGAAGCAATGGCCGAAGATCAACGTCTGCAAGCTTCTTGGCAAGGTGACAGCTTCCAACCTTTGATTAAACTTGAAGCCGAAGGACAAAGTCTGTAGGCTGTTTGGTAAGGTGACATCTTTCAAGCTCTGGTTGAAATCCTCGCTGAAGGTCAAAGTCCGCAGCCTGCTTGGCAGCATGACACCTTTCAAGCTCTGGTTGAACCTCTCGCCAAAGGTCAAAGTCTGCAAGCTGCTGGGCAAGGTAACACCTTTCAAGCTCTGGTTGAACCTCTCGCCGAAGGTCAAAGTCTGCA